AGGAATTTACTTTTATGAAAAATTTGATAATCTTGCATTGATATAGATCAAAATGCCAAATGATACTTTGATAAATTTTGAAACACTAATTTAAAAATACACATTAAACATCAGACTATTTACATAATGCACATGCGTAACTAGTAATAATAATACGTATAGTAAGTAGTTAATTCTAAATATTATTATTATTATTATTATTATTATTATTATTATTATTATTAGTTCTAAAATCTAAACTAATAAGTTTATTTGAAAAGAAAGTTGACACTTTAGCAATTATATTTGCTATTTTATTATTTTATGGTTTAATATAATTATTAATTTTTATTTGTAAATAATTTAAATATTATTATTACTTTTAAAAATTTTCTAATAAGATAATAAATAGTGGACATTTGTAGTCGCATTTAGTGAAATATAGGTTAATTTTTGAAAAATTTCACCCGCTATTTGACAAGGTAATGTAGGTGGATAAAGTACAAGGATAGAGAGGTTACTATCCACGGGCTTTATTCGTTATATTTGGCATTCTTAACTGAAAAGCTAGTTAAAAGCTGAAAATGTATAAGTTAGAAGCTGAAAACTAAAGAGTTGTTAAGCTAGCTGATTATGCTTAAAAGTGTTTGGTAAAATTAGCATTTTGACAAACTGATAAATATAAAAATACTGAAAAAGACATCTTCATAAAATTTAAATAGTTTTAAATTTATATATATTTGTGTACATATTAAAATTTAACATTTTGAAATGAAACTATTAACATTTAGCATAATAATGATCTAGCATCCCATAATGAAGTAGCAATATTGTTGCGAATTTTCTTCAACTCAATAGAGGTCTCACTTAAAATTTCGTTGATGGAGATATAACTACTTGAATCTTGAAGTTTATCGGAGCGGTATGTACTGTGGATGCTGCTCGATCACATTAAACATCATGTCATCTTGTAAATTGTTTCAAATATAATTATGTAGGTCAAATGTGGCCATAATAACATCAATTTGGGTCTTCACACTAAATTGTAACATTTTAACAAGTATATTCAATCTCTTCGCTTATATATATATATATATATATATATATATATATATATATATATATATATATATATATATATATATATATATATATATATATATATATATATATATATATATATATATATATAGTGTGAAATGTTCCAGGGCGGTTGTGCGGTTGATTAGTGTGCGTGAGCTTTGTACTTAATGTGCGTGAGTCTTGTGCTTAATGTGCTTTGAGCTTCGTACGTAATGTGCGTGAGTGTGTAATGTTAATGTGCGTGAGTTTTGTACTTAATGTGTCTGAGTCTTATGTTTAATATGCCTGAGATTTGTACTTAATATGCGTGAGTGTGTAATGTTAATGTGCTCATGTTGCTCCTGTACATATACGTCTTCGTCTTTGTCTTCTCTTCCTCTCTTTTCCCTTAATCCTCTCTTCCTCTCTCTTTGTTCTTCTTCATATACGTCTTCGTCTTCTCTTCCTATTCCATTAATCCTCTCTTCCACTCTCTCCGTTCTTCATCATATACGTCTTTGTTTTCTCTTCCTATTCCCTTAATCCTCTCTTCCCTCTCTCTGTTCTTCATCATATACGTCTTCGTCTTCGTCTTCGTCTGACTTTTGTGTTTAATGTGTGTGAGGTTGTGGTTTGAATGTATTTTGTTTATAGCTTCCTGTACGATTGTGTTAAAAGTCACGCACATTAAGCACAATACTAAGGCACATTAAGTACAAAACTCACGCACATTAACATTACACACTCACGTACATTAAGTACAAATCTCAGGCACATTAAGCACAAGACTCATGCACATTAAGTATAAAACTCACGCACATTAATCAACCACACAACCGCACCAGAAGTCACAAATGTACCTGATCCCTTCCCTATATATATATATATATATATATATATATATATATATATATATATATATATATATATATATATATATATATTATTAGAAGTGTAGAGATTTATACAATCTTATAAAACATTATAGAACTCGTATAATTATATATAATTTTAAGGATGATTTTAGAGATATAATCATAATCATACGATCAGGTAAATCTCCACCGTCCGTAAAGATAAAATGAAAAAAGTTCAGAAACTACAAATATTTGATACACTAACATTGTATAGGTGCTATACAACGGCGGTGAACGAGAACGGACCACCTCATTAATTTGTAAAATCAACTTTTTCTGAACCCTTTTATACAAATTATAATAATCTTAATATAGTATAATTATAATTATTTTCTTTAATTAAAAATAATTACCATAATTAATTAAAACTAAATAATATTAATTAGATTTATTTTCCTCTACCTTGGATCCAGTTTCCTGGCGGTGATTTTTGTCAGAGTAATACATAATCAATTGCAAAAATAGGATGGGGAAGAAGGAGGTCTTGGTCTTAGGAAGCTCAAAGACATGAACTTGTCATTCATTACAAAAATAGGATGGAGAATTCTCATTGAAGAAGGAAGTCTCTAGACGAATATCATTAAAGGAAAATACATGCATGGCAAGGCAAACGTCGAGGAAATTAATTGGAGGACTAGAGGCTCTAACCTCTGGAAAGGAGTGTGCAATGTTGGAAAAAATAGTTTAAAATGGCATAAAATGACATGTTAAGTGGTTATTTTGTGGTACAATTATCAGTGGGGTCCACTTCCGATTTGGGTCGGGTCAAAGTGGATTCGGGTACTTCGTAGTGAGACGAAGAGATTGATATATTGTACGCTCAAAACGGATAATGGGTGAATGAGATATTGATCCTCAAAGTAGACCCATTTGAGTTGGAAAATGAAGGGATAAAGTGAGCTTTGTCCCACATTGCTTTGGAATGAAGATTTCCCCCCTTATATACAAGAGCTCTTTTGAAGCTTGTAGAATTGTATAGCATAGAGGCTCTCTCGCGCGGGGGGTGGGGGGGGGGGGTGCAAATCAAATTCCAACTAGAGGAGCTTGAAAAAGGCTTGATTCAAGCCCGAGCTCATGTGCGTCGGCACCTGGGTGCTACAAGAGAACACGAGAGGTTGTGGTGCACCGAGAGCACAACTCTCGTGCCTCAGCAAGCACGAGAGGTGCAAGGGCCGAAACTAGGTGAGGTCGAAAGTTGCGACCGAACCCTGTACGCCAACGGTCTGGAACCCGAAAGTTGGAAGGCAGCTTTAATGTCATTTTTTAATTGCCATAATAAAGGCTATTGGCTCCTTCAACCCTATATAAGAGAAGGTAGAGGCAATAGAGTTTTACACAGAAACATAGAACACGAAAGTTCATATTTTAGCCTCAAATCCTCTCTGCTTCTACTCCTTCTCTAGCCTACTGTGTTCATAGCCCGTCTTGCTCGCCGGATTCTTTGTTTGAGTGCTCAAACATTGAATCAAAGCAAGTTTTATCCTGGGAAGCCTAGGCCACAACGCTCTTAGCATCTACGGGAGGTGGCAAATAAGGTTTTAAGGAAAAAGTGGTCACTCGACTCTTGCAAAAACCCAACACCAAACACTAGCCATTTTTCCTTCATCTTTTCTTCCCTTCTTTCCAGAAAATAATAGTCAATTTTATTTGATTATTATTTGTTTTCTACCAACGGTTCCGACATGCAAAGTCAAAAATATTATTATGGCAGGTTCCAATGCGAATGAAGAAGAGATTCACACCAACGATGACAATCCCCCCTTGCGTGACCAGATTGTGGAGACTGGAGAAGCTGTACTGTTGCGCCATACTGAAAAGGTGAAAGTAATGGCAGGTTCTAGGTGTCTTCAGCTTACAAAATCGCGACGAACGGGCCATCTGGAGATACAATAGGACACTGGATGGATATTTGGAAACTAAAAGTTCCAAATAAGATCAACATATTCATCTGGACCCTGAAGCACCGCCCGTAAACTAGATCAAAAGCAGAGGAAAATAAATCTAATTAATATTATTTAATTTTAATTGATTATGGTAATTATTTTTAATAAAAGAAAATAATTATAATTATATTATATTAAGATTATTATAATTTGCTTAAAAGGGTTCAATAAAAATTAATTTTACAATTTAATGAGGTGACACATTTTGGTTCACTGCCGTTGTATAGCACCTATACAACGCCGGTGCATCAAATATTTTCTCTATTTTTAAAACGCTACCTAGATTAGCGTATCAAAATAAACTATTAACTTATTTTTGAAATATTAACAAACAGAGCTTATAATTTAGCGTCTCAAAATAAGTTATTATTGACTTATTTTTGAAATATAACAAACAAAGCTTATAATTTATTAGTAGCTTAAAATAAGATATGCTTCTAACTAAGTTATGTCAAACAGAGCTATTGTCAATTCGCCATCCTTATCTTTTTTATAAGGGAAAAGGGTCAAATAAGCCCTCGAACTTTAGCTTAAAAGTCAATTAGGCCCCTAAACTTTTTAAAGGTGCAATTACACTCATCAACAATTCATTTAAGTGCAATGAAGCCCAAAAACAAATTAATGAGCTGTTATCACAGGTCATTAGGGTTCAGACCATCTTCCGGCGAATTTTCCGGCAAAAAAAAAAAGTGACCGGCGAAATTTTCGACAAAAGAAGTGACAGACGAAATTTTCGGCAAATCTGGGTCGGTTGCTGGTCACTTTTTTTTTTTTGCCGAAAAATTCGCCGGAAGGTGGCCTAAACCCTAATGACCTGTGATAGCAGGTCATTAATTTGTTTTTGGGCTTCATTGCACCTAAATGAATTGTTGATGAGTGTAATTGAACCTTTAAAAAGTTTAGGGGCCTAATTGACTTTTAAGCTAAAGTTTGAGGGACTATTTGACCCTTTTCCCTTTTTATAATGATAAATGTAACTATTTAAAAAAATTGGATTAATTATAGTAAATATACCAAATTAGCAAAAAGTAAAAGATAAGTAAAATCCCGTAATATTGTTTGTTTATGAGCAATAAAATAAAATAGAAAAAAAATACTTTAATTTTTTCTCTTCGTCTCGATCCCTTCTGCACAAACCCCAAACCGAACGCCAGTAAATAGAAAAGAAAACTACAACTCGACAGAGATCGAGAAGAAAGATCTTATCGATGATTTCTCAACTGGTTACACTTTCTCTTTCACTGCCGTAAATCCACAGCTATTCGTTTCACCTCAGGAATTTACAAAAACAAGGTTAGTGGCTTTTTCCCCAAACCTTTTAGATTGTTTGAAGACTTAAACAAAAATATTTGATATGTGGAGTCACTTTCGGCGTTGTTATGCTTTCGTTGTTGTTTTTAAAATGATTAAAGATTGGAATTTGCTTGAAGAATGGTGGGGCTGTGAAAGTGCCCCTTGATTTGTTGGTTTGTCATTTTATCATTTCACGGTCCACCTAACGAGTTTTTGAGTAATATTTGAATCTAAGGATTTCCCACATTGCATTTTCGAATGTTGTTTGACGTTTCAGATCTTGAATTATACTTCCTTTGAATTTTGTACGCTTGTGCCTGGATGAATATATATTTGCGCTACTTGCCCCAAATGAAATGACGTTGTACTGATGATTGTTTTTGGTGGTCTAATGTTGTTTTAAAAGCCACACAGGTGACTTCAAACAAACCTGTTTGTCAAATGTGTTAAATTTGGTAATGGTGAGGTTCAAGAATGTGGTTATTTATTATGTACTGTGATTTTGCAGCGGGTTGATTTGGTATCTGTATAGGGAGTTTGATGGAGGAGGGAGAGCCCTATTTCGGGATGGCTGATGCAGCAGCTCTTATTGAAGTTTCAGGATCCAGGTTTAGTGATCTAGAGCTCATTGGAAGAGGGTCATTTGGGGATGTATATAAAGGGTAAGCTTCAAAATGTTTTTACTTGTAATTTGGTAATCTTTCTCCATGCTAGGGGTTAAACTATCTGTTTTTGGAGATGTGTAATAACTCATTTTATACCATTTATGATTTATGATGCAATTTTGAATTTTTAACTAACATTCTTTTATTTTCACAAACTCTGGTTGAAAGGGCATTTATTTGAGAGAAAGGTCACAAATATGCTGTTCCTGTTGTCTTATTTGGGAATTTATGTTGAAAGCCTAAGACAGGTTGCATATTGAGATAAAGTAGAGTTCTTTTGAGGATTTTGTGATAAGTGTTAAATATAGGCTTTTGTTATTTTGTTATCTTGGGTGAATGCAATTAGTGTTTTGATTTCAAAACCTGTAGTTCCTGAAACACATTGTGTCCTTTCATTTAGTGAACGTGAATACTCTTCTTGTTTCAGATGAATACTTTAGAGACACTAAAATGGGAGTCTAGAGATAGGCAGATAGCAAAAGCAAGAAAGTTTGGCTGAACCACATTGCGTGATTTAGTTTCATAAACAGCAATGCTTATTGACTTGAAAGTCTGTAGTTTACATAAGTTAATCACTAATTCACTATTGGGGGGTCTCTAGTTTTTCCCATTTTAGGTCGTCAGTTTTGGTTGCTTCACTTAATTAAACCTTTGCTTTTTTCTCTCTGAGCTTATATGTATAGCAGTTATTAGGCTTTGTAAATTCTTATTCTGCCAATTACATGATTTTGCAGCTATAATTTTGGAGGGTGGGTTTAAATTGAGTAGAGTCCAGAAGAAGTGGAATATAAAACATAAAATTTTGTTCACTGAGGTTCAAGTGGGATACGTTACAATTTTAGCACATTCTGATGGAATTTCTTAAAATATAAATTTAAATTGTTGAATCCATGTTTGGTTTAATAACATGTAGTGGATTTTTAGTAAAAAGTTCTAGTCACTATTTTAACTTAAAACCAAGCCCCGAGAAGAAAAGCATTAACCCTTTTGTTTCTTATTGAAAAACATTTAAGAAAAGAGAATCTATTCATTGGCAAGTTGTTGAAAACACTTTAAAATTGTGATAAGTTTCTGTTTACATTATAATAAGGGCTTTAGTAGTAGTTTTCTTATTATCTATTGCAATTTCCCTCCTTCCACAACTTATCTATCACCTTTTTTGTGTGGATCTTTTTTTCTCTTTTCTGAGTTGGTCTTTTTATTTATTTATTTATTTATTCTTTTTTGTGATTTGTAGTTATGACAAGGAGCTCAAAAAAGAAGTTGCCATTAAGGTTATTGATTTAGACGAATCGTGAGTATTTTGCCTGACTCTATATTTACTGCTTGAGATTCATACTCATGTTTAATATTGATCACTTGCATTTATTATTTGTGGTTAAGTAGATATTCATATCCCCCATGTAATGTTAATCTGTTTTTCCTTGTGGTGATTTTCATGTTGGATTTATTCTAAAATGTATTTTTTGGAATTGCTTTTGTACAGAGAGGATGAGATCGAGGACATTCAGAAGGTAGTGCTTACATTTATGGCAGTCTAAGTGGGTCATTATTCCCTGATAGATATTTGTATCAAATAAATGAAGAGGTTTTTGTTTGGATGACTCTTTCCAGGAAATAGCTGTTCTGCAACAATGTCGATCCCCGTATATTACAGAGTATTATGGATCATACCTCCAAAGCACTAAGCTATGGATAATCATGGAGTATATGGCTGGTGGCTCTGTTGCTGATCTAGTAGGTTACATATTCTTTAGAGTTTCCATAACCCCTTCACGGGGTAGAAAATATTGTTCTCAGTCTGGCATTGCAAATATGTAAAATATCACATGGAAGCATTGTGAATTGCCATAATTTCAACCATCTGTACTTGTAACCTTGTGCTTTTTTGTGGACCTCATAGTACTTGGTAGTTATACTTTGCCAATCCAGCAAAAGCACCATTAGGGTGAAATGTCTAAAACTTAGCACTGGGTAGCTGACTGTTAACCATTCAGCCTTAAGCTTGTATACCGAACCTGGGTCATTTGGTCAGCTTAAAGCTTGACAAACTAATAGGACCTCATAGGACTTCGATTTTCCAAATAGGACTACTGTCATGATTATTAGACTCAAACCTTTTGTTACTTCCGATTTTCCATTGCAATTGATAAAGTAGTCCTATTTGATAAAGTTCTAGACCTTTTTAGATCTGGAAATTTCTAACCTCTCATCAAGAGATGAAGACTAAGGCCATTGGGTTTATACCTTAACAAGTGCCTTTTTTTCTCAGTGTAGGTGATATGCTTTCTAAAGAAAACACTCTAGCGAGTTGTCTCTCTCTCTCATTTTTATTTATTTTTAATTTCCTTTGTCTTGTTATTTTTGTACTTACAAGGAACTCTATTTTGCAGATTCAGCCAAATCTACCATTGGATGAAATATCCATAGCTTGTATTTTACGTGATTTGCTCCATGCTATTGATTACCTACACAGTGAAGGCAAGATTCATAGAGATATTAAAGGTTCCACCCTTCTCCAAAATCTAAAGTTAATAACTTACATTGGTTTCCAGTTTTTTCATATATTAGTATTTTAGTATTCAATCTATGAAGCCACAATTTAATTTTGAAATACCTACACAGTGAAGGCAAGATTCATAGAGATATTAAAGGTTTATATATATATATATATATATATATATATATATATATATATATATTAAAGGTTCCACCCTTCTCCAAATCTGAAGTTTACATTGGTTTCCAGTTTTTTCATATATTAGTATTTTTGTACTCGATCTATGAAGCCACAATTTAATTTTGAAAAGGTAGGGTTATTAAACTTGAGAAAGTGGGATCTTTGGCCTGGTTTTGTGAGGAGGTGGATGATAATTGGCCAGTTTGTTCATTATATCTTGCCAACAGAATTAACTTTAATATTTTCTACGAGTTTTTTGCACTTTTAGTCCACGACTATAGTGGCATTGGCAGAATTGATCCACGACTTTTGAACCTTGCAATTTTAATCCACGACTATTGATTTTTTTGCAAAAATGGTCCTTCCGGTCACTTTTCCGTCAAAATTTCACCGGAAAAAAAAATTCTCCATTTTTAGCCGGGTTAAAATTGACATTTTACTTGTCTCAAAAAATTAAAAGAAAAAAATTGATATTTGACTACATACAATATTACTGGGCTACATACTACTGCCCCAGGCAGCGTAGTACATGTACCACTCCAATGCTGCTGTCGGATAACCCAACTAGCCCGGGGAACGCCACGGCCGCTCCGCCGCTTACTGACAGCCCTGCCTGCTCCAGGAACTCCGCCGCCTGGGGCAGTAGTATGTAGCCCAGTAATATTGTATGTAGTCAAATATCAATTTTTTTCTTTTAATTTTTTGAGATAAGTAAAATGTCAATTTTAACCTGGCTAAAAATGGAGAATTTTTTTTTCCGGTGAAATTTTGACGGAAAAGTGGCCGGAAGGACCATTTTTGCAAAAAAATCAATAGTCGTGGACTAAAATTGCAAGGTTCAAAAGTCGTAGATCAATTCTGCCAGTGCCACTATAGTCGTGGGACTAAAAGTGCAAAAAACTCTATTTTCTACTGATCTCATTTTGAAATGAAAAATGCTGAAATTTTTTAATTTTTAAATTTTTTTTGGAAGGAGTGAAGATTACTGCATTTGGTTACCGTTCTTTTAAGTGGCAGTATTTCATTCTGTACTTGTGTAGTTGTGTATATCAGAAATTATATGCCTTATCTTATTCTTTTACAGCGGCAAATATTCTGTTGTCGAAGAATGGTGATGTGAAGGTATGTTATTTGTGTATATTTACAAGAATGTCTTAGAATGAGATATCAAAGAACTTGGTAAAACCAACAAGTTGTTTTCTAGTATTCTCAACAACCTTTTGTTGACTTTCTAGGTTGCAGATTTTGGTGTTTCTGCACAATTGACAAAGACAATTTCTAGGCGGAAGGTACTTTCTCTTTTGTAATTATAGTTTTCATGCTAACTTGCTTGATTAACTTGAAAAAATATATGATTTGCATATCACATTTGATTGGGTAGAAACAACACCTGAAGGTAATTTTTCTCTAGCTGATATAATTAATCTTGTCAGACATTTGTAGGGACACCATTCTGGATGGCACCAGAAGTAATTCAGAATTCTGATGGATATAATGAGAAGGTGATTTTTATTTCTTATTTTTAAATAATTTCTTTTCATTCCCTTTTCTTTTTCATCTCTAAATTTGCTTTTCTTAGTTTAGCAATACATTTTCATTAGAACCTTTTGGGGTTTAGTATTTAGTGTTTAGCAAACTTTTACAAGCTAGAAGTTTTACTTGATGCAGGCAGATATTTGGTCTCTAGGTATAACTGTTATTGAGATGGCAAAAGGGGAACCTCCACTGGCTGATCTCCACCCAATGAGAGTTCTTTTCATCATACCTAGGGAAACTCCACCACAGGTTTGGCTTTACTCTTTATATTTCTTCTCATGAATTTGTATGTCTATTTCTTATTCATAGACTGAAGTCTTGTTTCTTTGCCATTTCAACTTTCAAGTAAGAGTTTTTTTTTTTATTGGATTTTTGGTGCAGCTAGAAGACCACTTTTCTCGTCCTTTGAAAGAATTTGTTTCATCATGTTTGAAGAAAATTCCTGCTGAGGTATGGAGAAAAGCTATAAAATGAAAGTTGAGACTTGAAATGAGGCCCTTATCTAGATAATATTCTTCACCTTAATATATGTGTGAACTATGCTGTACAATACTGTCAATACTAGATAATAATCAAACTGTATATTTTGGTTTTGGACCCATTTTTGTTTGTTTGTTTTCTTCTTGTTTTTGTTTTGTTTTGTTTGTTTGTTTTTTTTTTTTTAATTTCTTTTTTAAATTTTAGAGACCAAGTGCAAAGGAACTTTTAAAGCATCGCTTTATAAAAAATGCCAGGAAGAGCCCAAGGCTTTTGGAGAGAATCAGGTGCGCATCCAGTTACCCTAAATATGTAATATGTGGAGACCTTTTTAAACATGTTGTCATTGTCAAAAACAAGTTTGTATGAAAAGAAATTGAATTGAAATCTGAAAATGATAAAATTTCTGAACTTAAATTTTGGTTGGACAGAGTGTATGTTTGCAACAACCACTGGTTGTCATATCCAAAAACAAAATTGTATAGAAGGAAATTGAATCGGAATCTGTCAATGATAAAGTTTTTATTTTATCATTATATGGCTTTATAAAATCAGAGTAACCTCTGTGGCTTAGTTTTGGTAAGTTCGTAAGAATTGCTACTATTTCTATGCTATGGAGTTACACATCAATATATTCACTATCTTTAACAAGTTAGATGCTTGGAAGAACATGCAACTTAGCAACAATGGAAAATAAAAAGCAATCTGCAAATTCATCAACATTATTTTTTGTTATAAATATGTTACTCCCTCTGTGCATTAAAAATTGTCTTTCGTACTATGTTGGGATGTCCAACAAAAATTATAGCTTTATTACACAAAATACCCTTTAAATAACAATTTAAAATACTAAAATGTTGGTTATGCATTTAATTTGGGAAAATATACTATCCTGAACATGTAGAGGGTAAATTTTCTTGGACAGAGGTAGTATTTTTAACAATGAAAGTTAATACTTGTTAAATGATACACATTTTGCTTTTATTAATGTTAGTTCCTTAAATTTGATGAAATTTCAAGTTGCATCATGTAAAGATATTTGTTTTAAAAAAAAATAAAATTAAAATGACTATAAATCTGAATTAAAACTAGTGAATTCATCTAATAGTTATAGTTCACCAAAAAATTCATGGAATTTGCTATGTCCTACCAGTTCTAAAGTATTGTTTGCAAAAACCCATTACAAGCCAAAGGGTATGTCCTTCAGTATAAGAGTAATAAAAATATAGTGTGGTAGTTAGAGTTTACTCTCAATATATTACCCAATTCTGCTACTAGATAGATAAATATGACTTAAAACTGTTGTGTTGGGTGAAAACTATGATTCAATTTCTGTGCTTTAGTTGAAATATAGTATTCAGGCTCTTCACCTCGTCATCTTCTAGGGAACGCCCTAAATTCCAACTAAAGGATGATGTAGAAACTCCTAGGAATGGTATAAAACCATTGGGTGAAGTATCTGGCACTGTAAAGGCGACAAGTTCTGGAGTTGAGGATGCTGTTCGAGTCAGGTTTGCACAATCTCTTGGTTCTGCTTATTGCTGCTGTTTTTCAAATTCTTGGCTGATTGGTGCCGATTTTCAGTGGTGAAGGGAAAACATTTAAAAGTGCTGGCTGGGACTTTAGTCTTGGAGGATCATCTGGTACAGGAACAGTACGAAGTGTTGTAAATCCAACTAAGGCTAGGGATTGGAAACCCGAGATTTCATCAAATCAAGCCCCCTCGAGAAAAAACACTGATGGGGCTAACCAAGGGTCTTTTTCTGGAACTGTCCGGTCTTCTTCTTCTGGAACTGTCCTTTATAAGTCATCCGAGGTTTTTAGCAATAAAGACCATGAAAATGCTTGCATTGATCAGAAACAAGATTCTTTCCATAAAGATGTATGTCTCTCTTTCTCTCACATATTTGCTCATGGGGTTATATTAAAGTTCATTGATTGGTGCTAAGTCTTGGGGTAGTTGATGAATCCTGCTTTATTACTTCTATATAGTCACCTATCGCCACAGCTTTTTGGTTAATTTTTGTTTTAATTTACAGGAAGAATTCTCAGCAAGTGGGACAGGAACAGTTGTTGTTAGATCTCCAACAAGAGTAGTTCAGTCTTCTTTAGCCAGTGACCGAAGTTCAATGGTAGTATTCCTTACCCCACTGAAGCTATCTAAAATAATATTTATTTTTCTTCTGATGTTGTTGACTTGATGCCATAATACTTTCAGTCTAGCAGTTATGCTTCATTCGATGATGCTTCAACAAGTGGCACTATTGTTTACCGTGGGCGAAATGATGAGCCAGATTCTCCTCAAAGTCCTAGATCCTGGTCGGGAATTCCAGACAGATCCTCAAGTGCATCCTTTGAAGATAGCGAAACAAACCTCTCAGAGGTTTGTTAGTTTTCAAATTACTTTTCAGTTTATTTGAATTCATTGCAACTTCACCAGAAGATTCTTAAGGTTTTAGTTATTGAATTGAGTGCATAAACCTATTATTGCAGCGCATTTTAGATGATTTTTCGACGTGCATTATCACTTACCTTGTCATGCTGACATACGTTATGAGGCTAACTTAGCTGATATGTAATTAGGCCAAGGCTTCCATTCAAGCAGCGCTAAAGAAAGGAAATGTTCGAGAAAGAGCAATGATGGGCAAGACCAACAGAAATGGGCATGAAAATAGAAGCACAGGCCCATCAACAGCAAGCTCTGATTCTTCAAGGTACTTGAATGAGAAACAAATTTACAAACTTTGGTCAGTTCTTGTTTCATCCATATTACTCCCCTGAAACTTGGAACTTGTATTGCAGAAATTCCCGTGATTACTTTGAAGCACAAAAAGCATTTTCAAAATCACCTCATACTAGAGATGATGCTGCTGCTAGAATAGCCCCACCACCATCTTTATCGATTCTTCTCATCCCATCAATAAAGGAGGTATGCATATACATTAAATTAGGCTTCTGGCAAATTAGCTTACACTCCCTTTTATAAGTCTTAATTGCATTTGATGTAGGCTGTTGCTGGGGAAGTCGAAGGACCATTTGTGCAGAATATGGCAAATTCTTTTCTGGAAATGGAGCGCATGAAGCCTGGGTCTTGTGATCTTTTTGTCACCAGATTACTCCAGCGATTGGCGAGGTTGGTTGGATACATAATAATTTCTGGTTTCTGTATGACATAAATGTGGAACTATGATTAGTACAACGATATTTGCAGTTCCAAAGAATCTTCTTTGAAAGATCTGCAAGATTTGGCTACTCGCAAATTCACAAAGGGCAGGATGGAAACCGATAATGCAACCACTGAAGCTGATAGCAAGAAAAAGCAGCAGAGCAAAGAGCTTCAATCAAATTCCAACATGACCCCACTAGCCAGGTTCTTGCTCTCAAGGTATGCCTACTAATGCAACGATTTCTTACCGAACTTATCAGGCTACACATTTTTTACCCTTTTTTCGGATTTCTTTAAGCGCACTTCTAAACCAACCGATTCTCACAGCTAACTTTTGAATGCAGATGGCAAGGGCATGCTTCCCGGGATTTAAATTCTTAATATGGAGGTTTGATTCGTTTACATTCTTGTTTTCTGATTTTGCTGCTTCTGAGTTTATCATGATTCAATGTACATAACATTCCTATTCTAAGGAAACCATGTAAATTATATTTACCCATGCAATTTTTTTCTTTTCCTTGGGTTCCAGTTGTTCACCTATTCTGGTTTGTATTGTTTCATCCTGTAACAGAAATTAATATAGCATGATTTTAATATTTCAAATATTAACATAGCAAAAATCATCCCTTTGATTGTAGTGCAAGTATGTTTTTTATTCCTACACAGAATAGTTATTACTCTTAACTTGCATACAATTAATATAATCTAAATTTAAAATACACAATCAATTTATAAATAAAGCATCATACACATTCTTATTTATTTAAAGCAAACTACAAACATTGCATGTATATGATCATATATAAAGTAAACAATAAAAATACAGAACAGCCCAATAATAATAAAAATATACAATACAATATTTTTTAGGGAAAAGTGTCAAATTGGCCCCCTTAGTCAAGTGAATAGTGCAATTGGTCCCCTAAGTGAAAAAAACTCCATTAAAGTCCCCTAAACCTGTAAAATTGTTCAATTAAGTCCAATATGACTTGTTTAACAGGTTAAATCGATATGATGTTGACACGTGTCTTTCTTATTTTATTTTTTAAAATAAATACTTTTTATTTATTAAACATATTATTTTTTATTAATTAATTAATTAATTAAAATAATAATAATACTTTAAAAATTAAAAAAAAAAAAAAAACAAAAAACAGCCATCGGTTGTCCGCGCCGGACAGCCGATGGTTGTCCGCGCCGGACAGCCGATGGTTGTCCGCGCCGGACAGCCGGTGGTTGTCTTCTTTCTTCACGGATAGCCTTGGCCGTCCGGCCACGGCCGTCTAAGGAAGACGACCAGACGTCCATGGCCGCCTTCCTTAGACAACCATGAAGAAGGAAGATAGCCATTAGCTGTCCAGTGCAGACAGCCGGTGGCTGTTTTTTTTTTTTTAAATATTATTATTATTATTATTATTATTATTTTAATTAATTAATTAATAATAAATAATATTTTAAATTTTTAATAAATAAAAAAATATTTGTTTTAAAAAATAAAATAAGAATGACACGTGTCAACACCACATCGATTTAACCTGATAAACAAGTCATATTGGACTTAATTGAACAATTTTACCGGTTTAGGAGGCTTGAAGTGAAGCTTTTTTCACTTAGGGGACTCAATTGCACTATCCACTTGACTTAGAGGGCCGATTTGACACTTTTCTCTATTTTTTTAAAATGTACATGTGTATTGCTTGTATTAAAAATATGTCTATGAGTGTGAAGTGATATTTTGTATTCTTTTAGGTATTTTACAAGAGACGGATGCTACTGGATTGAGTAATGTTTATCATAGTGAGCAAAATTTTCAACGTGGTTTCTCAGTTTATTGTGTTTTCAATTAGGAAGTGAAAATGTGCGGACTACAATTATAGGTTATTTTGATTAAAACTTTTATTTATTTGGTATTATTTATGGAATATTTACAAAATTGTGCATGTTAATTTTAATATATATGTTTGTGAAGATTTGTTATATTTTGTAGTGCCATATTTTGACAACAGAGATTCAGTATTTAGTTGTGAACACTGTGGAGTAATGTTTTGGTACGATGAGAGATTAAAAAGTGCTAAGGCGAATTATATTGTTTTCCTAGATATTCCATATGTTGTTCAGTAGTTAATTTAAATAAAATAACCTAATTAAATTTTTATGTGTAGTTTAGTAATTAATTTAGAACTTTTTCTAATTCGTAATTATGTTGTTTCAATAAATCAGTCTAATTGACAGACCGGCAAACGGGATTTTGTTGCCTGCATGCCAAGTAACTTACTCACTCTTTCCTTTTCCTTTTTGGAAATTTAAAAGGATCCAATTTAAATTCCAGTCTTAATTAAACTTTCCTTCTCCTAAACCTAATGGGATTATGCTTCCGACTGTCCTATATATATGCATATATCTATTTCACCCCAGTTAACACATACACAATTAATTAATACATAGGTGGTGAGAGTAAATTTTCTATTCTGTCACAATGATGCCTGATGTCCTTTTCGAGATTTTGACTCGAACAACCTTAGAAACAATGGATACGTGTAAGATTGTTAGTCAAGAATTGAAGGAACTTATCAACGATCCATGGTTCATGCAGACTTACAGTCTAAAAACGAGAAATATCTTTGGATATTTTGTTCAAACAGTCAAAGGTAATCGCCATCTATCCGAATTTGTCCCCATCAATTCAACCTTGAATGTTCATAATAATATTTCAATACAATGCTTTAAGGATGGCTTAAAGATTTTGGCATCTTGTAATCAAGGAATTCTGTGCTGTAGAAAGTATGAAAACGGGTCATATCAATACTATGTTTGTAAGCCAAGCACTAACCAACTTGTTGCATTGCCTAGTCCCAGGAAGCCAGGTCAACTATTTGAACGAGTCGCTTTGACAGTGCTTAAAACGAAACCTTTTCACTATCAAATAGTTAGATTCTCAGACGATCATTCTTCATTGTCCGGTCAAGATAGTTACATATGTGAGGTTTTCGATTCCAAACTATGGACATGGAGGCAGTCCAAAAACCTTGTAACGGTTTTCGGCCATCAACCGTCTGTCTGTATAGGCGGCATAGTCTATTGGCTAACGAACAAAAACTCAGTTTTAGCCTTCGACTCGACAACAGAAACACACTCGGAGTTCCCAACGCCAACAGCAGTGTTGTCGAACGATGAAGGCTACGAGAAAAAGCGAATCATGGAGTACAATGGGAAGCTAGGGTTTTCGTGCGAGTACAAGTCGGAAAAACTACTGCTTTGGGAGCTAGAAGACAGAAGAAATTGCAAGTGGAAGATAAAGAAAGTTGTGGGAATTGATAAGGATGAGAAGAGGTTGATAGGCTGCAGCCTTGCAGACATGGCTTTGATGACTGGGTATAGGCTTCAAGTGTATGAACATAGCAGTCTGTACTTTCCTATGGATATTTTTCCCTTTCGGTCGGACTGGGAGCCAGTTAATTTGAAGGGAGATGAGATAACTGAATGTTCTATAGTTAGTTAAAGCATGCTTTTTTGTATTGATTTGAATGTGTAATACCTTATACAAAAATGCAAGTAATTGCTAACAACTTTTTAGCAGTTAATAACTACAACAATGTTTTTTTTTCTCCTAAAATTGGTGATAATTATCCTCTTTAACTTTGAGCATATTGCTATGTGTTACTGCAATATAATGAATTTAACTTTTCAAGCAACAATTTATGATCAGACATCTCACTTTATAATGACCTGAGTTGATTGCTTTGAAGGAGTCAGCTTCCTGAATGAGGCATGCAAAATCATGACTGCAAGGTTCGAAAAAAAGAAAAAAAAAAAAACTGTAAGAACAATGAGTAGTTGTCACGTAAAATAGATGATATAAGAATAAATACAACAGAAATGGATGCGGGATTGAATCACCTGCATAACTGACAACAACAGTACAAAACAAAGCCGAAGGGACATTGGAACCGAATAAGATAGCTGCAGTTGCTGCAACACCATAACTTGATTAGTTTTGTTTTGAAATACAGAGTACCGTTTTTAATATGCGTAGTAAAAGACACAGCATAATGTACACTCATAAACTTGGAGAATAGAGCAGCAATGCAGCATACACAGGTTATATAAGGAAACCAGCGATTTACAAGATTCATGGTTCCAATCAAGTTGCATTGTTAAGATAGGGAGATTATTGTAGCCTAGCTGAATGCTGGACACATTCTTTATTCTTGTGGTGATTTATATCATAACCTTTTCGGTTTAGTTGGTCAGTAGTTTTCTTGTTCTTCTAAGATGACAGAAAGATCTAAACCAATGACTTCTGCACAGAGAAAGACACCACCAGATGCACAAGTCGGGAGATAAAATGTCTAAATGGGCGCACAACAAGCATTGTCATTTGGGAATGCAATGATGATTTCAAATTCAAAATAAAATTAAGGAATCCCTATGCCCCACACTTCATTCAAGCAAGAAGCTTCTTCCTGTGCACAATGCATACAAAAATAATCTTCTCAAAATCAAAGCAATCGGTATGGCGAAAAGAAAAGATTTTGGAAGATGAACTCACCACACTGGGCAATGCGAATGAGGATCAGCTTGGTTGTAGGGTACTGATCTAATCCAAACCGACCACCATAGAGGTTAAAAAGATCCCAGAGAGCTATACATGACAGTAATCCAACAAGGGCAAGAGGCATTTGATACCTGATGAACACAAGTCCAAGAATTCATGAATGATTAATGAGAAGACAACAGCTAACCTGGAAAAATTATAGTAGTTTGCATATTCCACATAATACACTTTTGTTCCTCAAATTTCTGTTTATTCCAAGATTGTTGCTAACATCACAAACCTATCCTTTCAAATATCAAAAATCAGTCCAAAGTGCAAGAAAAAGCAAAATTTTGAGAAGCAAAAATATGAACTTTGTATCTTCTCCAAAATTGTAATGCAGTAGTTATGAATTGAAATTATTGTCAATTTTATAAACGGCAATACCAAACTGAAAAGCAGATATATTTTGAGGGTAATGGAGCATACAGAGAGCAAGCGAAGAAGAGAATGGAGAGCGAAGCATAATTGCGGGCATAGCGCTTGACGTTCTCATGGACTCGGAGGCGGGCCTGGGCGGGCGACGACGGAAACGAGTACGACTGACATGAGCCGAAGAATTTGAGGGTCCAGGAGGGGGTGTCGCCGGAGAAGTCGCTGGTGGCGAGCTTGGAGAAGGGATTGAAGGTGAAGAGAGAGAGTAGGGTTCCGACGTTTGAAAAGAACAACACGAAAAATCCGTTACTGATGGCGGAAGAGGCGGTAGTCGAAGGCGCTGCGGCGGAGGAAGAGGAGGAGGTCACGGCGGCGGAGGAAGAGGACAGGCGGTGGAGGTCGGAGGTGCGTTGGTCGACAATTTCGAGGTAGCCGCTGTCTCGGAGCCAGGTCTCGAATGCGGGTTCGGGTACACTTAGAGATAACGGGTTGGCTGAGAACACCATTTTCGTTCTTCTCTTTGGGAACTGGGAATGATTCGTTTCATCTACAAAGGGATGGATAGATAGATAGATATACAAACAGAAAATGTTTATTTGTATTGAAACTTGAAAGCTTCAAAATCAATTTGAGTTTAGACAAGACAAGGAAAAGTTATAAGATGAGGTAATAATACTTTTCATTTTGTGGCGGTCAAAATTGAAATATGTCGACGTTACTCTCTTCCCTTCGGGGTCATTTCTTCAAACACCTTTCACGCACCACCATTATCGCCGCCAACTTCTCATCCGGCCGCCGCATTCACCACCTCCGAACACCCTCCCGCCTTTCATTCTTCCCTTCTACGCCCACTAGTACTAGAAAGTACCAACGTTGGCTCAATATCTCTTCCGCGGCACTGTCAACGCCATCATCCTCTTCTCCGTCGGGAACTCTGAGCGGAGATTCATTCACTTCCCCCTCGTACCTCTCGGTCCGCATTCGCTGCCAGAAGGATGTTGCGGTAAGCAAAATCCAATCAAAAAGTTTATTCTACGTTATTATTTTTCCTGATATCATTTACATTGATGTAATAATATTATGTTAAATGAACCAACCAGTTTTAAGATGAGATTATGAAGAACTCTTTAGTCTCTGACTCTCCGAAGCATCAAGTTTTAGTTGCAGAAGAGAATCAGATATTGAAATAGATAAATTGAGCAGAAATGGAGTGATTATTTCAGTTTATTAGTAATTTGTGGGATAAGAACTATAGCTATGTGCTTAGATAGCAATGGGATTTGTTCTATTTGCCAGGATATGCTTTCAGAGACTCTTCTGTGCTTTGGAGCCAGTTCAACAACAGTGGATGAAGGGGATGACAATGAGGTAGCTAATCCTGTTAATTACAGAATCTCCACCTTCACCTTTTGACTAAAATTAGACTAATCCTTCAAGTTTTTTTGGTTCATATGGGAATTCTTGGTTTAATCTTGCAGGCTTGTCTTGATTGTATATTTTCTGTCAATCAAGATGTGAAGCAATGCATTTCTCGTGCTGTCGATTCCATAGGCTTGGGAGAAATGCCTAGTTATGAAGTTGTGGTGCAAAACCACATTGATTGGGTTAAAGCAACTCAGGTAAAATTTACCCCACTTTTGTTGTTCTGCAGGATAATTACTGTTTCTCTCCTTGTAAATTACTACTCCATAGTAAATTCCTTGTGTATTTTGTCTGGATTTTTCCACTCATTGTGGTGAATGATTGGATTGTAATCAACCTCTTATTCATGGCTGTTCTTACAAACCATCTCAAAACTGCAGGAGTCTTTTCAGCCACTGGAAATTAAAGAGGGACTTTGGATTGTACCTGATTGGATTCCTGTTCCAGTATGATCATCTCTTTCCTGTGTAAAGCTTCAATCTGTCTAATCCATAGGGCGTCCCGACTTCTTTTTTGTGTACAAATTGATGTCGCCTAACCTTTATTATGAAACTAAAATTTCTTTTAATTGTTAATGATGCTTTCTAATTTCTATACTAGAACAAGGATCTGAGTGACCGAGCTCAATTGTTTCTGCATATTTTATAATTCTGAAACATGGCTATTCTCATGCACACATAAATATAGATTTAAGTTCTTTCTTTGTGTTTGAACATGTAGGACCCTCGAGCAACCAATATTATCCTGAATCCTGGTTTGGCATTTGGAACTGGAGAACACACTACAACTAAACTATGTCTTTTGTTGCTGCATGATATAATAAAAGGAGGAGAATCCTTCTTGGATTATGGAACAGGCTCAGGTATCCTTGCTATTGCAGCAATCAAGGTACAATGCTTTTTACACAACTCATGTGCATTTAAGCTATACTGGAGATGATCTGTTTTTCATTATCTAGAAGAGAGTTGTTTTCATTATCTGGAACGATGTAAATCACAGTAATTCAGTGGCTCGGCAGATAGGGCCAAATGCCTATCTACCCACTATGGGCGTTTTCTTGTTGCTTCCTGAACTCTCACCGCTAATGCCTTAAACTGCAGTTCGGTGCAGCACTTTCAGTGGGGTTTGACATAGATCCACTAGCAATAACAGCAGCTCGACATAATGCTTCTCTGAATGACATAGGACCTGACAAATTCCTTGTTGAACTTGTTCCTGAATCTGGCACCCTGCCCAATGATAATAGTTCTAGCGCGGGAATGAGCATCCCACATGTGAATGATATGGATGTTCTTAACGAGAGAGACAAATATGATGTGGTCATTGCAAATATACTACTAAATCCTCTCCTAGAGTTAGCAGATCAGATTGTCTCCTATGCAAAGCCTGGAGCAGTTGTGGGACTATCTGGTATCATTTCTGAGCAGGTATGGTCTTGTTGAGTTCACAAGGAATGAACTATATAGCAAATAAACAGAATTCTTGATACCATTGATCTGTTCTTGGGGATTCAAGCCTTTCTTCATTCTATATTAGTTGTAGTCTAAAATGGCTATTAGATATTGGATGTGTTTGGCTAGAACCAATATGACACTGGTTTACTTTTTATGCAGATCCCATATATCTTAGAACATTATTCTAAATTACTTGATGGGATGAAGGTCACTGAGATGAATGACTGGGCATGTGTAACAGGATTCAAGAAGAGAATACCCAGTACTGGATGAAGAAGCATTTGGTATAGATATTCTGAAACTGCTTTAACTATTGTACTACAGATTAGTGCTATTAATTTTATTCAGAACAGTATTGTTGAGTTGATAAATGGTTTTCTCAATGCACATAAACACAGTTTATTTATTACTACTGCATTTTAAGTAGAAACTACCTGATCTCCAGTGTCTTGGTTTTATATCTACAAACTACAAAGGGGGCAAGGCACAACTAAGAAAATTTATTGCTGCTAAATTTAAGTACAAACATAAAAACTTTATGCATCTTCAGTATCACTTGTAGAGGCACGAGTATCGATGTAGAACTCAGTGTCCATTCTGTCAATGATCCCCCCTCTGTCCAAAGTATCAGATTTTGTGTCAAAGGCTAACAGAATATACAAGCGAGTAAAATTTCATTGGGCGAAAGGAGAATCTCTGCAATCTGTTATAAAAGAGAGGATATACCTTTCGAGAATGAATTTGCCTTCTTTATACTTTTGGCTATCGTCATGTGCAGATTCCTGTCTCAGGAAAACACATAATATAACCTGTTATCAGCTAAATAATCCAAGGAAAAAGCAGCGCAGCACCAAACAAGCTCTTCCTGGGCATGCACAATGGGAGGGAAAGAGAGAGAGAGAGAGATGAGGGCGTACATATTTCCAACCAACCATTTGCCCGCAACAGCAACAAAATATATCTGCTACCGTATGCATTCCTGAGATCATTGGCCTGTCCTCAGGAGGTCCAACAGTGACGTTCACTCTGAGTGGCAATAGACAAAAAAGAATGTTAAGTGGCTTTATTGAGTGGAACATCTCTAATTCCACAACGGAGTTATTAATCACATCACTTGGTTAAAGAGTATCATAAGTGCCTAACAGACTAAAAGAATACATCATCGGGTTCTATTAATTCCTAGTCCATATGTAGTTATTTCACTAAACCTGGACAACTGTGGATTAGATCAACAATCCCTTCATCAGTTCACCATCAATAATTTGCATGTTTTATCCTATAATCTATTTCCCTAAACTCCCGGGCTTATCATCCCCACTTATCCCCTCATTTGAACACAACTACCTCGTACAGAAGTCTAGCTCCATTCCTAACTTGAGGCTCCACGCTAAGAACTCCACCAGCTAGCACTCTGGCAATCCCTTGTTTTTAAGGTTCTCTAAGCTCAAGTCTTGTAACAAGGAAAATATTTAAAGAACTTATATTTTTCCTGATAAATTCAGTGCTACAATTACAAAATTCTGAAAACAACCAAGCTTAACTCCAAACAAAAAGAAGTGAAAATTTTCTGAAAGCGTTAGCCTGTTGCTGCTATCAATTGAAAGTGGATATAGATCAGTGAAATTGAGAGTAAAACAAGCAAATTAATCTGATAAAATCCTAAGGCAGTTATCACATTGTGTTACCCACACATTATTGAATAGGTAGGCCTTTCCTCTGCGACAATGGAATGCCTGGCAAGATAGGGGAAAGCAAACCATCAGCTTATGATATAGTAAAAGTTTGTCCAAAAAACGGAAGAACTTCAAAAACAAATGCAATATCTAAGTAGAAAAGCTCATCATTACCAAAGTAAATAGGCATGTAACAGTTATTGCAGGGTATATTACACTGTGCTGCAAATCTTTAATATTAGGAATGAAGAACAATCGGTAGAAAGACAGACTACATAGTCCATGAAATCAAGAGGTCCATTAGGTGGGGGTAACCCGTAACCCCAGTGAAGATGGCAAGAGATCCACGCTTGTAACTACAAGGTCACGAGTTCGAATCCTTGCCCCCTTCGTTTGAGCCAGTCAACTATGGGTAACCTAGGCTGGTTTACTTCCTTATGGTCCTTTGCGTGCTAGGGTCACAAGGCGGGGTTTACTCTAGTGTTTTCCAATGTCCATTAGGTGACCTCTACTAATGCTTTTGAAGCATCAGTATTTGCATCTAAGAACCAATTTTCGAGAGATCATGAATTGTAATTACAGTTCTGAGACGCTTTTCTAACACCAATGTTTGCACCCAAGAACCAAAATTTTAATACACAAATAATTGCAATTACAGTTCCAACTTCCAAGTGTACTTTTCAAGCACCAATGTTCACATCCAAGAATCAATTTATACCACCAAGAATAGTAGTTATACACTTATACTTCCAAGAACAAATTTTTATACATTGAAGTCTGAAGATTATGATTAGACCAAAATTTCCTCTCAGGGAAACTGGGATAACCCTAGAAAACATAAAACTTAACTACATGTCTATGTTTAATAAACCATTAATAAATAAATAATAAACAAAATATAAAGATATGATTATATGAATAGCAGAAAAGTTCCATTAAATAAAATATGAGATAAAAATGATACCCTGGAAATAAGATCATCCACAAGGGCTAATTGGGTTTTACAGAATTTGCAGTTGTATGTCCTGCCTTCAAGATTCAGCAGAAATAATCTCCCCATCTCTGTCTCTCTCTCTTCCTCTCCTCAACCCCAAAATCCCTTCTCTTTGTTAAAACTATCGATTAGAGTGAACAGAACATAAGAGAAAAAAAAAAAAAAAAAAAGGGGAATTATGGTCAGTTTAATTGAAGTGTTGGACACCGGAGTGCTGGGAAAATTGAGAAAATGAATCTCTGAGGGGAAACAAATGAGCTCTGAGATCGATGGGCTTATGGGCTTTATAACATGATCCACATAATACGGTCCATAAATGAGAAAAATAGGACATTATTAAATGGATCATGGTTCATATAACTACTGTGTGGACTATAAATAAAAAAATATATTTTTAATGATTATATAGTTTAAGATGAGATTATGAAGAACTGTTTAGTCTCTGAATCTCCGAAGCATCAAGTTTTAGTTGCAGAAGAGAATAAGATATTGAAATAAATAAATTGAGCAGAAATGGAGTGATTATTTCAGTTTTAGTGATGAAAAGATAAGTAATTTGTGGGATAAGAACTATAGCTATTTGCTTAGATAGCAATTAGTGTAAAATAAAGATTTTGGTCCAAAAGTGACCTAAAATCATTACAAAGCCCAAAAGTGCATAACAGTCTAAAAATAACTAAAAGCATAAAAAAGCCCATAAGTGAGCTAGGCCCAAAAGTGACCTTAAACAAACAAGGTAGAATAGTATCACTGGCCATGTGGAATGCCTTCTGCCATCAGGAGCAGTTGGCCTCTTAGATTGGCCAACAAAGCCTTCAGTCTGGTAGTTTCATCTCCTGATACTGGCCTTCAGATAGGTTAACCAGCAATTTGAGCGCAGCATTTTCAGCTTTGAGATCACTGACTTCAGACTCCAGTGCAGCTTGATTAGCTTCCATTTGGCGCTTGGAAGTGAACATTTCGTAACTGCAATTACAAAACCAAAAATCAAGTTAACCATCTGTACAGTTTCAAAGCTCAAAAACAAACAAATATTACAAAGCAAATCGATCGTCGACGGAACAAAATAAACAAATGTACAGTTTCAAAGCTCAAAACAAACAAACATTACAAAGCAAATCGATCGTCACAAAATAAACAAATGCACAGTTTCAAAGCTCAAAAACAAATATTACAAAGCAAAATGATAGTCGACGGGAACGAAATAAACAAATGTACAGTTTCAAAGCTCAAAAAGTCGACGGAACAAAATAAACAAATGTACAGTTTCAAAGCTAAAAAACAAACAAACATTACAAAGCAAACCGATCGTCGGAACAAAATAAACAAATGAACAGTTTCAAAGCTCAAAAACAAATATTACAAAGCAAAATGATCTTCGACGGAACAAAATAAACCAATGTACAGTTTCAAAGCTCAAAAACAAACAAATACTGAGTATTACCTTTCCGTTGATTAAAGAGAGTGCGTCTACAACACTGGGACACTGTATAGTAGAAGGGTGATGTATTTATAGAATAAGCGAAGTAAGTCTAGTGTTAGCGTGTGCCTGGCATGTGAGAAGAGAAGTGGGGTGGGGTGGGGTCCACACACACACACACACACACACATATATATATATATATATATATATATATATATATATATATATTATATATAGAACTCTTTAAAAAAAAAATACTTGCTTCCTGTTGCAATTTATGAGAGTAAAATGTAAATAACTATGGATTACTTGTTTTCAACTAACCAAAAAAAAAAGAAAAAAGAGGTCTTTTGTTTGTACAAATGAGTGAAGTTTTTCTGAATGGGACATGTGGTGCCATAAACCCATCCTGCATGCCATGAATTCCTTCTATGCTGACAACAAAATTAGTTTTAAGATATTATAATACAAAAGCTTTTTTAAAGAAACTTATTTTTAGTCACATACAATTATATTACAATTTCAAGTGACACTGAACATTTAATTTGATCAACCATAGCTCATATCTCACTGCATGTTTTACCTGGGAGATTCAACAACAATTTTGTGTAATACAAAATAATAATATAAATATACAATATTTATAAAGTAATGTATAATTGTACTATTATAAAAATATACACAAAAATTGTTAATATCATAATGACCTAAATCATTTTCAATAATACAAAACTGTAATTAAAATATTGAGTATTGTTCTAAATAATCAAAATAAAATTAATTAAACGAAAAAACTTAACATAGATTTGTTTTTTAAAAAATTGCAAGAAAATAATTTTCAAGTTTTCTTATTTGTAATCTTTGATGCTCACTTTGAATGCTATGTATTAGTCTGACTTATTAATTGACGGAGTATTATTTGGTGGACTATGGTCTACACAGTTGTGCGAACTATAAATAAAAAGTACATTATTTTGTATATTATCAAATAATGACATTCTCAATAGTGAGGTTTTTGAGTTGCCAACCAAAAGAGGGGAGAGGGAGAGAGAAGATAGAAAATGAGAGAAAAAAAAAAAAAAAACATATCTGACGCCAAAAAAAAAAATAATAATAAAAAATAAAAAAACAAAGGTCTTAACATGCCAACGGGTGCGTGCGTATATTAAGCTATCCCTTTCTCTCTCCTGGCCCACAAAAAAACCATCTTTTGAAGGGAGATTCACATACTTTTCTCTCCTCCCTATCTCTCCTCCACATAAGCTATATATATATATATATATATATATATATATATATATATATATATATATATATATATACATTTATTTATTTTAACCATGAAAAATCCACTAATGTAGTTAGCCTAATATACATTTACCACACAAATAATATACTTTTAGTATATTAAAAATATACTTTTTTTTAAAGTACATTATTTGAATACTAAAAGTACATTATTTTGTGTAATATACATTCAATATACAAATAATATATTTTTAGTATATGAAAAATGTAGTTTTTATGGTCCACACAACATTGTATAGACCATAGTCTACATAATAAGTTGCCTAATTGACTAAAGTTCATATTAAATTTTATATTATATTTTTTTAATACACTCTAAAATATTAAATTCATAGTATATGTTCAACAACTATGTCAACTCTAATTAGGATGCGGTGTTCGAATCTAAGACCTTCCTTTTGGGATGTAAAAATTAAAGGCCCCAAGTAAAAAATGAAGTGAGATATAAATCGTTGATCTTTCTAGACCAATGACTATTAAAAAAAACAAAAAAAAAAAAATCAAAATTTGTAGCATGTATAAGCTTATGCACTTGATAATATATACTTAGGGATCGGAATATAACCCAGTTTTAACTTCCCTATACGTCTGTACTCTCGTTTTGTAATCAGGTCGGAATTAAACAATATGAGTCTTGATCAAAGTCAGCTGGTCAGTTCTTGGGGCCTATATAAAAGGCCTTATCCCTTCATTGTGGAGGCTCTTCCTTTAATTTTGCTCTCTCTCTCTATACACACAAAAACCATTTCTCTCTTCTCTTCTACTACCTCTCTAAGCATTCAATAAAAGAGTAAATGGAGAGCCCTTTTCCAGATCTTATCTCTTTCTTCATATGCTCTCATACAGTTTTTATACACAATCTGTACGTTCTGTGCGAATATGTCCCATCACTTATTATTCACTTGATAGTATAAACCAGTACACTTAATAGTATAGACTTGTGCATTTTGAAAATTAATTGGCGTTTTGGTAAATACAGTTTTTATACACAATCTGTACGTTTTGGCGATTAATCCCGCATATCAAGTGTACACAAAATGTGGCACTAAACCCCCAAATTGGTCGGTATGTCAATTCCCAAACAAAAAAAAAAAAAAATTCTGAATATATAGTTCAAAAATTATGAATATATAGTTCTATAATTATGAACATAGTGTTGTGAACATAATTATGAACATATAATTTTGTAATTATGAATGTAGAGATTCAATAATTGTGTATATGAAGTTCAAAAATTATGAATATATATCATTATAATTATGAACATATAGTTCAATAACTATGAACATAGAGTTCTGTAATTATGAATAATGAATATAGAGTTCAATAATTATGAATATGAAGTTCAAAGATTGTGAATATATAACTCTATAATAATGAACATATAGTTCATTAATTATAAATATAGAACAGTGTCCACCTTGCAAGGTGGACACGGTTCCACAGCATAACAATCGTTATATATACCCTGCACCACAACGCACACAACATTGTGCGCCTCGCGCCTCCCAAAATGATGTCGTTTTGTTAAGTTGTATAGGAAGTTGACGCGAATATGTACATTATGGTATATAATTATGTACATTTGTTTATACAATTATGTACATCCGAAACAAGGAATTTATGTGAAAATACTAAACAATGATAAATAAAATCTTCAAAGTTATAGCACCGCATGTGTACATCTAGACATTAGCTATTAATTTGAGCAATTATTTGTACAAATTCAATCAAGGGAAAATCAACGATTTGGTCCCTCAATTGTTAGCGAAATATCAATGTCACCCTTTAATCACGAAATCATCGATTTAGTCCCTGGAAATAACTGTTTTTAGTCGATTTGCCCCCTCCGACCGTTTCCCGTAGAGACTCCGGCGAATGCTCCGATTTGGCATGGGTAAGTTGGTCATTTCACATTTTGCTCCTATTCTCTTTGCCCTATTTAATTGGTTTAGTCTCCTTCTTCTTCAACGATACAAGCGAATTGAACAGAGAGTAGATTTGAAGGGATTGAACAGAGAATTGAACAGAGAGCAGATTTGAAGAGATTGAAGACTCCAAGCAACGAATAAGAAACATAATGTCTTGCAACAACACTTCTTCAGCGGAATTCATGGCGGAGGTGCGATGTAGGTGCGGGTATTTGGCTCCAATGAAGATGTCATGGAGTTATGCTAACCCAGGGAAGAGATTTAGGGCATGTCCAAGATACGGAGTAAGTGTTAAATTTTGTAAATTTTGGGAATATTTAGCTTAAATTTTGGGAACATTTGACAGTGTGAGTTCTACTCTGCTCAGGGAAATGAGAGTTGCAGGTATTTTGAATGGATGGACTATGATGTCTCCGATCGTGTAGCAAATGTCATTAGAGGATTGTTGAAGAGGGCAGACAAGTATGAGAAGGAAATTGACAAGCTGCACTTGACAATTGAGAAAAAGGATCATGAATTTAATAAGAAGATTTGGGAGTCCAATTTTAAGTTTTTGTATGGATTTGGAATTGGTTTTCTATTTGCATTGTTTGTCATGAATACATGGATGAAATTTGATGTAGAAAATGTAGGGTTATTGCAGCTTAGGTAGTACTCTAATCTGATTTGGGAGTCCAATGGATGGTGTAGTTTGTTTTCCAGTGGATGGTGTAGTTTGTTTTCCAGTGGATGGTGTAATGAATTGGCTTCTGATGTTAATGATAAGTGGATGGTTAGATTCATTTTGGCTTCTCATTTTGACAGTGCTTCCAGTTAGCTTCTCATTTTGACAGTGCTTCCAGTTAGCTTCATTTTGGTAGTGGATGGTTAGATTCATTTTGACAACTTACACAAAACATGCTCCAATATTGGCTTTAACTAATTCACATAACCAACTTACACAAAACATGCTCCAATATTGGCTTTAACTAATTCACATAACCAACTTACACAAAACCTGCTCCACAAAAACTGCTCCTATCAATTCACATAACCAATTCACATAACTAATTCACATAAACTTCTCCAATATTGGCATTAACTGAACCAATTCTTGAATCTTACAAAAAAGTAGTATTACCACATGGTATTAACCAATTCACCATCTTACAAAAAAGTTTTCCAACTTACACCAAGTTCACCAATTCACAATTACATTTAAGCTTACAAAATACTCCTACAAAATAGTTTCCCAACAGTTACATATTTCTGCATGCCTTTTAGTCCTCCAACACCAAGTTCATCACTTTTTCTTCATGCCTTTTAGTCCTCCAACAGTTACATATTTCTTCCTTCTAGTGGTAATCCCATGATCTACAGCTTGAGATGATATGTGTGAAGAGATAAAATTCGACATGCTTGGGATCACATTTTTTCCTTCAATTGCTTGTGATGGTTGGGATGTCATTGCTTCCTGAAAATATGGGCACAAAAAATTATAAATAACAAAGTCTGGGACTTGTGTTAAAGTTTATATGCACTGCCAAGTGTTAAATCCAACTTACCATTTCATTTAGCACAAAGTCTGGGACTTGTGTCTCAACCACCACATCATGGCATTGCTCTTGAGGGAAATGATGTTCAGGTTCCTGCTGCTCTGCATTTACTTGATCTACCACTGGTTCTTGTACCTTCAAGCAATAAAAGAAGTTAACAAAACCATCATGCCACACAAACCAGTTAAAAATAACCACACATCCACTTACCTGTTTGCCTTTTGTCTTGCAAGTAGTCCTATTATGACCTTTCATGCCACACAACCTACACTTTTTAACTTCTCATTGTTTAGTAGATTTTGTTTGATTTGGCTTTTCAACAATTGGATCTATCTTTCTCTTCTTCTTTGGCCTCCCAGGTTGTGGCTTATACTTTGGTGGGATTGGGGGTGGTTCACTAGTTTTGTGCCATAATTCTGGGGCTCGGATAGGCAATATTGCAGGGCCATATGCTCTCATGTACTGCTCCACTGTATAACATTAATGGACATAATCTTCTGGAATATCACCCTTTTTCCTTATAGCTGCAATGGCATGTGTACATGGTATGCCAGTGAGGTCCCATCTCCTGCAACTACACTGCCTAGCACCTAGATCAATCTTGAAAGGCTTGAAACTGTCATCATCAACTTGATAAATATCACCAACAGATTTATATGCATTGAATCTACAACATCTCTCTTTTCCTTCTTCTAGGATTTTCTGAATTTTTGGACAGACCTTGAAGGGATGACAACTCATTTTGTCCCTATTCTTTTGCATCATAATCATCAAATATAACCTTATCTTATCAACCATTGTTTGTATTGGCTTATCCCTGAAATTTAGAATGCAACTGTTCCAAGATTCACAAAGATTATTAAGTAGCAAATCTGACTTTGGGAATGTGCTGAAAAATGCCCTAGAGTAGTGTTTTGGATCCCTTGCACTTAACCATTCAAAAGCCTTAGGATTCTCCAACTTTAGCTCCTCCATCTTTGCATGAAAATCTGCCTCAGTAGTAGCCTTACACACTGCCCAGAAGTGCATTTTGAGGGAATTCCCTGTAAACCCATCCTTCATAAAATTGGCATGTAGATGCCTAGCACAAAACCTATGTTCAAGCCCTGGAAATAGTTCCTCCACAGCAGGTATTAAGCCCTTCTGTTTATCAGAAATGATTGTCCAAGCACCAGGATTATTTGAGATATTTAAGTCACTGTCCAATAAATCCAAAAACCATGACCATGTCTCCTTCAACTCACCCTCAACTATAGCAAATGCTACTGGAAAAAGACTATTATCCCCATCTAAACCTATTGCACTCAGTAGTTGCCCTCCTTTTTGAGCACCCTTTAGGTGGCAGCCATCAACCCCAATAATGGGTCTACAACCCCTAACAAACCCTTCCTTGCAAGCTGCAAAGCAAATGTATAGCCTAACAAATCTAGGCCTTCCATTCACACTAAATTCAGTGTCTAACTTCATTTTGACAGTGCTTCCAGGGTTGCTTCTTCTTAGTTCTTCACAATAGTCATTCAGTAAGTTGAATTGTTCCAAGTCTTGTCCATCTATTTGCTTCATAGCTTTCTTTTTTGCCAAATATGCTTGGTTTCTAGTTAGCTGACAGTTGAATTTAGCCTTCACATGCTCCTGAAATGGTCCTCTACCCCATTCTGTATTCATTCTAAAATCTTCCTTGAATAATTTTGCTAAAAAACCAGAAGTTACAAGCTTGTTTTCATCTTGATTCCCACATGTGTGAACAGAATTGTAAGTCTTGATAGTAAATGGAGAACCTGAATTGCTTTTTGAACCAAAAATAGACCAATTGCAGACCTGTTGGTGTCTACACACTACCCTAACTCTTCTTGCCTCATTCTTCTTAAACATAACATCTTTCTGCCTCAGACTTTCATGGTATTGAACTGCCCACTTGAATTCTTTAGCAGAATTAAACACCATTCCAAGCACAAATTTAAACCCTTCCTTTTTTAAATTTCTCTCTTCAAACACATTTAATGGACCATGAACTTGCCCCTCTGAATCTGAATCACACAAACTCCTTAGTACTTGTTCAGATAACTCACATTCAATCTCCACAAAATCCTCAACCACCTTCTGTTTTGAACTAGTAGCAGTGTCCGTAAGATTGTTTGCAATATCAGGTTGTCCTTCATCATGTAATTCAACTTCATCACCTGCTTCTACTTCATCACTTTCCATACTAACTTCTTCATCATGCAATAACACATCATCTCCTAGTTCCCTAGAGATTTCTACATCATCTTCCCATTGATTTTCATACAAATGCTCTACATATATGTCCACCTCTTTGTTCACTGGAATTTCAGTAATCAATCCTAGGATATCAGCATCACTATTTATCCTTAAAACTGTAGGTTTTCTTATGTTGACAACCTTATACCAAAATTGTACTTTTTTGTCACAAAACCTAAGCATTCTGACCATCCTTCTCAAATCCAGAATAGTACCAACATCACAATTAAAATGGTCAAAATACTCCACTATCCCATTTTTATAACTTAACCTAGGTTTCAAAATCAAATCCCCACCAAGATGCAATTTTACTGTGAAAACAGATTCTTCCTCACCATCATCTAGATAAAATAAAGAGATAATAATCAACAAAAGTAAAAAAAAAAAAAAATAGTATACTAGTAGACAAAATACAGTTGAGTGCTGACAAAAATGCAGTTTATGGTCCCCATCCATAAACAAAGTTTATAGTAGTAAAGCTTATACAACCAACACATGGTCCCCACCCCAAAAATCAAAATTGCACTGTTTTATAGCATCTAAGCAACAAAAGCAAAACTGCACTGCTTTATACTACCAAATCATGGTCCCCACCCCCATCCCTGCTTACTTCTACAAAGCAACAATAGCAATAAAAAACAACCAAACACAGACATTAATGCACTGCTGTCTACTTCAAAGTAACAACACCAATAAAAAAAATAACCAAACACATACATTTATGCACTGTTGTCTGTCTACCTCAGTACGAATCAAAAACACCAATAAAAAACACCAATATAAATCATTAATGTACTGTTGTCTACCAAAAACATATTATCCCACAAAAACCTTAAATTTAGACGAAAAACTTACAATTTGGCGTAGTAGCAAACCCATTAATCCTCCGACTTGTCATACCGTCGCTCCAATGCCTACGATTTTGCTCCAATCAGTCCGATTTTACTCCAATTTGGTGGATTTTGGTAGGGAAAAGGTTTAGGGCTTTCTCTGAAATGTAAGGGTTTTGTCTGGGTTCTTCAACACTTAACCAAAAAAGGCGGAAAATGATGTAAGAATAGGAGCAAAATGTGAAATGACCAACTTACCCATGCCAAATCGGAGCATTCGCCGGAGTCTCTACGGGAAACGGTCGGAGGGGGCAAATCGACTAAAAACAGTTATTTCCAGGGACTAAATCGATGATTTCGTGATTAAAGGGTGACATTGATATTTCGCTAACAATTGAGGGACCAAATCGTTGATTTTCCCTTCAATCAATGATAACATCAAAATATATAAGCGATCTAAACCACATCTCTAATTGCACTATATAATATTTGAGGTTCTAATTTAAATAATTACAAATCAATTTTGTGCATCGCACGAGTGCAAATACTAGTATAATAAATAAAGTTTATTATTTCATTTAAATTTTAATTAGTAAAAAAATTGTTAATTATTTTTAAAAAACATAAATATTGGACATATATTTTTGCGGAGTTAATACCCAAAATCGTCTTTGACTATAGTGGTTTTTCTCAATTTTGTCCTAAACGACTTTGGTGACTTAATGTAGTCCCAGAGTCTTGTGTTTTTACGCAATTTCATCCTAGACTTTTGTGTTTTTACTCAATTTAGTCCCCCATTTGTTATTCCGTCCATTTGTTGTTAAATAAATAGACAATTCAGTAATTTTAATATTGTCATCTCTTTATTCATTGACATGTGAAGTGCAAAATCCCTCTTTTTTTACGAATTACTCCCAGAATCACTTCTGAAGCTGCGAATATAAAATTTTATTCGTAGGTCTGAGAGTAACTCTGGGTGTAATTCGTGTAAGAAAGAGAGATTTCTCAATTCGCAGGTTGAAAGTAAAAAGAGGTCAATATTGATATTATTGAATTGTCCCTTTATTTAACACCAATTTGACGGAATAACAAACGGAAGACTAAATTGAGCGAAACACAAAAATCTGGGACAATATTAGGTCACCAAAGTTGTTTAGGACGAAATTGAGAAAAACCATTATAATCGAGGACAATTTTGAGTATTAACTCTATTTTTGCGCATTTATGCATAGAAAATACTAGTCTAATTTATAAATATAAAGTAACAAAACTACATAGAAGCGGAAGTTTGGAAAATCCTAAACTTATTCTATTATTTATTTGTGGATAATATATCTACTATACTAATAAGAGCCCAAGAGAGTTAGGCCTATAATGGGTAGAAAAAATGGCGGTCACAGATTTTAATCAAATGAATGGCTCATATTGATTAAAAGATTGATCAGATTTAAATTTTACACTAAAATTTCCTAAAATACCCACACACCGTTACTAATTCCGTTAAACTTTTAAGAATTGCCGTTAGTTCACCGTTAACTTACTCATTGATTTCAATAAAAAAAAGGTCTTAGGTTCGAACCTCATCCCAATCAAAGTTGGCATAATTAGTACTCTATTTTACCCTTATTAAATTATTTAGGCTCATATTGATTAAAAGATTGATCAGATTTAAATTTTACACTAAAATTTCCTAAAATACCCACACACCGTTACTAATTCCGTTAAACTTTTAAGAATTGCCGTTAGTTCACCGTTAACTTACTCATTGATTTCAATAAAAAAAGGTCTTAGGTTCGAACCTCATCCCAATCAAAGTTGGCATAATTAGTACTCTATTTTACCCTTATTAAATTATATAAATAATAATTTAGTAGTTACAACAAAAAATAATACATATGCATTTCTTTAATTTAGAATTATGTGTCCACAATGTCTTTATTCAAAAAAAAAAAATATTCATTATCAATAAATTAAATAAGATAAATAATTTTATTAGTTATATTGTCTTTAGTTTTCTTCAATATAAAAATTCTTTATATTCAAATTTATTAATTGATTATATTCGCTACATTGTCCTTACAATGTCTTTGTTCAGTGAAAAAAAATTTATTAATTATCAATAAATTAATTAAAAGAAATATTTTCATTAGTTATATTATCTTTATTTTTCTCAAATGTAAAATTTTTTACATTCAAATTCATCAATTGATTATATTCACTACATTATCTATTATCTTTTTTGTGCACTATTTTTCTAATTAAATATCAAAGTTATAACATAAAATAATGCTATATATTTATTTATCAAGTATTTTATTAATACCATGAAAAAATTAAAAAAATATAATTAATAAAGCCAACCATGTTAACTAATTTTGAGAGATTTTGTGACAAAGAGAGTATTCAAATCACACAACAAATTGAAGTGAGAATTACCTCGCAATGTCCTTGTTTGACAATCAGCAGTCAGCGGTTAGCATTAACGGATTATACTAGCGGATTTGACCAGCGAATTTATTTAATTATTAACATTGGGTAGAAAAAATGACCGCCAAATTATTAAATCAAATGAATGGTTCATATTGTTCAGGCCATGTTTTAATTTTTTTTCTTTTAAGATTTTCTAATTTATCCTTAATTATATGATTATCCATTTAACTTTTTCGTTAATTCACTGTTAGTATAATTCTAATATTAAAGTCTAATATAGAATTATAACTACACCATTAATTTAATTCTAATATTAAAGTCTTAATAGAACTTAACCACAAATCCTAATGTCGGAATCTCCTCAAACAATATTAGTATATATTTAATATTTTATGCCCTAATTTTTATTTGTTCTCCCTTATGTACCGTATTTGGTTTCAACCATACCTATACAATTATTTTATTGACAATTATAATCAATATTGACTATATTATCTTGCATTTGTAAACTTAGAATTACCTATTTAAACCGCACGAGCTTAGCTCAATGGTGTAGTGGGTAGTATTTCGGAGAAGAGACCAAGGTTTGAACCTCGGCGGCGGCAATGCAGGAATTATGTCCAAAGTGGGTCTGCTAAACCATTGAGTCACCGTGATTTACAACTTCCCACAATGCTCTGTCGGGTCGGAGTGTGGGGGGCCCTTGGGGTTGGGGACTCAACCTTTGGGAGAAGAATTACCTATTTAAATACGCAAATTCAACTTTCAATTATCTATGCACGAACAATTTCAATATAATCTTACCTTAATATACTTTAAAATACTTATTTAAAAAAAATTATTGGGCATTATCCCAATCGCGCAATGAGCGTTAAAAACTAGTATTAAGATAAGAATTGAATACGCTGATTTTTGTACAAACTGCTCCGTTGAGAATTTTGTGACACGGTCGTTTATCTTGTTTTCGAAGACACAGCGCCAAAACTCGCCGCCACGAATTTCCAAAATCTCCGGTGGCTGTGGCTCACGAAGAGGCACAGAATGAGGAAATCGCGAAGAAAAACTTGCACTTGGAAGGCGAATTGCAGAAAGAGATAGAGAGAGAGAGAGAGAGAGAGAGAGAGAGAGAGAGAGAAGCAGCAAGAAATGGATTGGAAAACCCCTCAATTGAGGCTGCTATAAAGCTGGAGAAGAAGAGGTTGAAGGAACTTGATAGACAGAGCAGTAGCAATCCAGTGGTGAGCTTACTGAATAGGCTGCTTCGTGACAGTTTGTCCAGAGAGAAAGAGAGGTTAATAAGGTTAGTATACATTTTGCTTCTCAAATGGCATTACAATAAAAAGCTAATTATTAACAGAATCTATTGTGTGTCTGATCTGAACTTTGAATGGCAGTTAAAGAGCTGCTTTGGGTTTAATACGTTTTTCGCCACAGATGTTAGGAGATTTGGAGATGGAGGGATCTTTATTGGAAACCCATTCAACAAGTAATACCCAAGCTATTTGTTTTGTGGTTTACGGAGGAAACAACAAATGACATTAAGAAACTGGTAACTCATCTTTTCTATTATTGAAGCTTCCTTTCCAATACTATTTGTTAGTCTTAGGATCAATTGCTTACCAATACGCTAAAAGCAATAGCTAGTAGTGAAGACGCAATTTTATTTCCTTATAAGTGCGTAGCAGTCTCCTATTTCTTTTAGCCACCTGGTCCGTTAGACTTGTGCCAAAAAATTTCTTATTTGCTCCTAAATCTAGTTTGTAGGTGAGAATGTTCATTGATTGGGTGACTTTTAAGTGATTAAAGTGATGATTTTTTAGAGGTATTTTAGATGTTGGCTGGAACTCTAGAGACTCCTGTTGGTTAAGCCATCTCAAATTGGAGTTTGAATCAATTGCCTGGACATTAGTTTTCACAAATACTAAGCCGATG